TCTACCTGCCTCTGCCTCCAGAGTTCTGGGACTAAAGGCCTATGCCAACATACCTGGCCCAATTGTCATATTCTTGCAAAAGAAGCAAGCACAAATCCTGAATTCTTACTTATTCATGAGAGCTAAGAAAGGACTGGAGTGATGGCTCAATGGTTAAAAGTTTTTATTGCTCTTGCATAGGACCTGAGTTTGGATCCCAGCACCACCATGGCTGCTACCTACAGTTCCAGAGGGAGGTGGATCTAATGTTATGGCCTCCATGGATGATTACACACAGTTTTTTAAAATTGGGAAAGAACTTTGAAGGAAATGTAAAAAATGTAGAAAGACATTCTTTTCGATCAGATGCTGGAATAAATGCTTGTCTATATTTGAAAAAAAAAAAACTTAAATTCCTATCTCACAATAAAAACAGATTCAGAAAGTGTTATTACCCTAATAATAAACCTAAAAACCGCAGGGCAGAGGCCCATAGAACAGACTAGACTGGCTGGCCAGAAAGCTCCAGGAATCCTTCTGTCTCTAACCCCTGAACACTGGAATTGGGACTCTATCCAAAGCTTTTTCCTTGGGTTCTGGGGATGGAACTCAGGTCCGTATCTCTGACAAAGGTTATTCACAGCCTTTGCCAATTAAGTTTTGCAAAGCCAGCATTCTTTCTTTCACCTTTAAATGTATACTTCATAGTAAGTAAAGAAACTAGAAACCTCCCACACAGAAGTATATCATTATGGGTTGCTCTATTAACATCACTGAAGAACTCTGATCCAAAGTACTGAGACTATCATAAAAAAATTATTACTGGCCCATCCCCAATCTTCCTCCTCCCCCTCCAGGATTTGCAGGAAATCAAGGGAGATGTGAAAGAAAATTCTTGGAAAAGTATGGTGTGGTAGCTCATTTCTTTTTTTAGGTTAAGGATTAAACAAAAGCATCTAAATTATCATGTTTATCTAAGATCAACTTGTCACAAAACAGAAAGGCCAGTGGTCACACCATCTCAGGGACTCTGGATGTCCCTCACTTAAATGCCAGCAGTGCCCCAGAAATAAAATTTGGAAGAGAAAATTATAGGAATAAAAACCCACTGAAAAGCCTAAAATCAATTTCTACTTTCAAAAAGGTTTTTAAAAAGAACCCAACGCCACAAAGATGCATGTTCGAGTTTTATTGGGTTTCAATACAAAACATTCCAAAAATTGATCTACAATATAAACCTAAGCTCAACATCCAACTACCAAATAAACCACAATACTTTCTGCTTTATTTTTTTACAAGCAGTGTTTAGCCAGAAGAATAAAAGATAATTTTTCTCTTAACTGCAGATTTTAGGCCTGTTTGGTCTATAATCTTTACCATTTTTCGAAATGGTCTCTTGATCGTTTCTACCTACTCCCTATTTGGAATTCAGCATTCATATTTACTGTAGGATGACCTATGCCAAACTATCTTTAAGAAATCCAAATAGAATCTCAGAGCCAAAAGGTCTTGAAAGAAGCACCTACTCAAGGAATTAGTACAGCATGGAAGGTTTGCGTTAACATAGCTTATTCAAATACAACTACTGAAATTTGCTCAATACCCTCATGATCTGATGAGAAATGTGACCAATGGAGTTAAAAGTTTTGGCTCATTTTCCCTAATTATAAATGTTAAACATGATTGTACTGTAATGAATTTCTAAGAAAACCCTTAGAAGTTGAATTAACTCCTTTAACCCTGTAACTCAACCTGTTTCCTCTGAAAATGTCCATATTTACATTACTGACTCTTAATTTCCAAAGCAATAAACTAGAGTTGTGTAATGATTTGTTTCCAAGATTGAGACCTAAGGGTAAAGTACCTTTATAAAACTATAGTGACCTAGTGACCTACTTTTCTTTCCAGTATGCTTTCCACTATCTTAACAATGTTTCCGGTTTTTACTTTCATTTCTTAGCATTGCTCTTCCTCTTATAAGTTTTAGAGGACAAGTAAAATGTTTGTTTTTTTTTTTTTCCTGAAAAGGCAATTCCCCCAAATGGTTTTCTTGTTAAAAATCAGACATCAGTGCATAAAGTTAGACTGAAGTATCATTTTTCTGATTGACTTTTCTTTTCCTATGTGTGGTACCAGGGATCGAACTCTAGGCCTCACTGGTATCTTATAAGCCCCCCCACACACCATGGAGTTACAGTCCCAGCTAATTCAATTTTCTTATAGCCAGTTATCATCATTGCCCCATTATTTGCCTAAATTACTAAATCTACAAAAAGCCATGAGAACTTCCTGGGAAGATATCTCCACTTACCAATCAGTTTCCTTCTTTCCCTTTGGCCAATTTAAGTGATTCACCCCTCCCTAAATAAGGTTTAATCGACACCAATGCCTCCCTCCCTTCAAGACAAAAAAAAAAAAAATTCCACTGCCTGTTCCAAACCAATTTTGATGAGCATTGGGTATGACATTGATGCAGCTTAGTCTCAGCATTCCTCTGCTTCAACAACTCTGTAAAAAAAGCATGGGATCAAGTTACAGAGAATTTTACAACGTAAAGTACTTCAATCCTCTTCTTTGTAAGTGCACACAATTTGCTTTTTCAGTTTAAGTATCACATCTCAAAAGTGCCAGCTTCCACTGTAAGCACTGTAAGCACTGTAAGCATCAGCTTTGTAACAGTAAAATCAGATACCCTGCCCCATTGTGCCCAGGAAGTTCGAAAGTTGCAGTAGCAGCTGTATCACAGGTCAATTGAAAATAAGCAAGCATGGACAGCATGCAATTCATACAACATTGCTCACACAGCAAACCATTAACTAGATAGCTCTTTTCACAAGAGCTCCTGCAGGTAGAGAGCTATTAGTAACTGTTTCAGAAATAGCCAGTAGTACCATATTACCAATACTCTAATGAAAACACATTTATATATGTTCAGTCAAAATAGATGTGCTAGGTGTTTCATGAAAAACAATTTCATCCACATGTCCAAAGTTCAGCATCATCCCACTTTATAGATGAATCAAGGGTCAGAAAATGCTTCCCCACAGCACAGACACAGAATGACAAAGCCACGGTACTTAAACCTTCAAATGACATTACTTTCAACACTTACCTGAGTATTTGATTTTTCCTTCCTGCCAGCTTTATCTACTATGAACCAATCAGCACTTCCTGATCATATGACCATTATGTTCAACCTGCAAAAATTACATAAATGAAAACTAGTTATTTCTCCAAAGGAAGTTCTTTAACACTTGCCTATAACTGCTTTTTTTTTTTCCCAGAAAGAACAGGCAAGTTCAGACTTGCAGCTTAATGCATAATTCAACTTCTACTACTTCTCTTAATTGGTGGAACGTTCACTGGCTTGGGATGGACTGGAATGGCTTAAATGGTTAAGTTGCATGGCTTATGGATTCTCATTCTTTTCCAATGGTGCACTGCCACGTTAAATCCATAAGTTGAACGGACAAAACATTTGAAGGAATAAGTGCAGTCTAAGGATTTTTAGTTGGAGGTCTTCAAAAGTTTACTATATTCAAGAGCATCTTTTTCAACTTCATGGCTGGACCTGGGTCATGCTGCCTCAGGTTTTTTGTTTTTTAAAAGACCACTTGCAATAGATTTTTTTTCTCCATACAATGTAGTTTCATAGAACTAAAACAAGTCAGGCATCCAACTAAAGGTCAAGTTGCAATGGCTTATAGGGGTCAGACAGAGAGACCCCAATACTAAGCCATTTCTTATATTGACTAAAAGATTAATTTGAAAATAAAAATCAAAACATGAAGCATGTTTAAAGGTCTTCATGAAAAATATGTAAGAAAAAAGTCACCCCCTCCCAATTCCCAGATTGCTATTGATAAACAACAGCTGCATTAATGCCTTTAAGTGTCATACATGCTTTTAAAAAATCCAAGTGTTGAATTTGGAGGACTTCTAATATGCTATTGAAAATTTGTGGGTTTTTTTTTCCAAAAGGTTTTTTTTTGGTTTTTTTTTTTTTTTTAATATAGAAGGCATTTCCACTGCCATGAAGTACAGTATGTTTCACTGTACTATGAGGAAGGTAAGTGCTCAATTTTGACTTAGACGGAAAAACTAGTTTGCTTTGCTTACCATCTTTGCTGTTTCACAGGCATTTGGTGCTTTAAATCTGATGTGGAATGCTGATAGATTCACTTTTTAGAAGTCATAAGCCTTTAGGAAGTTGGAGATAACTTCATTGCTTATCTATTTTCTCCTTTGCAATCAAGCTGTTCCTTTAAAAGTGAGACACTACAGAGTTGCAAAAATTTGAAACAGTAAGAGCAAGCATCGTTTTGCAGCTTCATGGTTGGTTTTGGCCAAACTTTTTTATTTAGTATTCTGTAGTTGTTTAACACACACTTAAACGGTCTTACTCGGGAACAGGGAAGGGAGGTTCTTGTAGCTTCCCAAGGAAATGTCAGAAAAGGAAAATATGGCCAGCATCCATTTGTTTTTTGTTTGTTTGTTTTGTTTTGTTTTCTTTTCTTTTGTTTTGGGGAAAGGGGGTTTCTGGGTAAATAACACATTTCTAGGCATCTGATCTCAGGGTTTTTTTGTTTGTTTGTTTTTGTTTTTATACTGCGAACATTGAGATTTCAGTTGGAAGACACCCTGAAATCCTGAATCCTAAGAGTAACAAAGCCAATCAACCCTCTCTAATAACTAGCTTGTCTGCATAGGCACTGTGATTCATCGATCAATGGAGACCAAAGGACATCTGGATGGCTGGATGTTTGTGGAAGATCTTGGGATTGCCTGCCTCCTTTACTGAAAAAAATTAGGAAGCGGCCTTCAGGGACATTTTTACTTGGAAAATTACAATGCTAGTAACAAGTCAAGGCTTACACATCTAACATTTGCTTGGTGAAAGCAAGTCATAATAGCCAATATAATTAAACATGTCTTACTTTTTCCCTCACAAGAACATAAAAATTATCAAGGGGAACAGGAAATTTTGAAACGGTAACACAATTTTTCCTTTTAGTAGTCCTTGGGTAGTTTACGACAGAAAGTTTCCATTGTTTGTTTCTTTGAATGGGGATTTTTGGTCCAAAAGGTTTGTTTGTTCCTAATATCTGCTTCTGCCTCCCCCTCTATCAGATCGGCTTCCTCCACGGCCACCACCTCTTGGTGCTCCGCGGCTTGAACTGCTGTAGGAATCACGTGGAGGAGGGTACCCCCTTTCCATAGAAGGGGGAAGCCCTCGTTCTTGTCTGCCAACGCGATCACGACCACTTGAGTAGAGATCACTTCGGCTGCTTGAGTAACTGTCTCGACTTCCACCATAGCCGTCACGTGAGCTGCTGTAATCATCATAGCGACTGCTTCCACCATAAGATGGCGGGGGCCCTCGTGTAGGTGGACCACTACGTGAGTTACCTGCAGGGTCAATGGTCAGGTAATATCGCAACACTATAAATTGTATATATACAACATTTAAATCTGAATTTACAGAATTCTTGTATGAAAAGTTTACTTTCTCAACTGGGAAGTTTTAAACTCTACCATTGCTGGCCATAAGAGGGAATTGCTCATCTGCTGAAATACGGAAATGGATTGATTTTAATGTTTGTTTTGAAAAGACTGAAGATGATGTGTATTTCAAGAGGACATTCCAGACAGCTTGTTATTTTATAGTAGACACTCAGCCACTTTCCAGTGATAAGTTGCAATTTTGAACTGTTGCGTTTCCTTCATATTGCAATGGTAAATATTTGATCTTGTTAATAAAATTTTTTAAATTGTATTTTCACTGTTGGGGGAAAACACATAAGGCTGCCAATTTAAGCAAGCAAAATCCCCTCCAAAGCAAGCGAACAGCCTCAAAAGAAAAGAAACAAAAAGGAAACGAGAACCAAAAAGCCCTTCACAAAACTAGGAAAAGCCTAGCTGGTAAAATTACCCCTTAAAAGCAAGCAAAGGTCCCTTTAAAAGCAAGCACCACACAGCCTATTAATCCAGCTCATGAACCTAAAACCTCAAGCTGGTGATCGTTAGGATCCTTAAGCGGTATCTTACCATAGCTCTCATATGAATCTCTATAGGAACCTCCGCCTGGATGATCTGAGTAGTCACGGTCCCGACCATATCCATCTCTATCACTAAACAAAAAGCAACTTGTCATTAAAAAATATATATTGTTCGCTCTGTCCCTTGTTTATTTTATAATATAAATATAATGCATTCTAAAGACCCCAAATCTTGAAAAAAAAATCCCAATGCTTTAAAAGTCTCAAATCTCTTAATTTTTTTTTAGCTGTCCAATGTAAAACTAAATTGAGTGTATGAGAGGAGACGTATGCATGCTATGGTGATCCTGTGGAAGACAAAAGACAACTTTGCAGAGTCTCTTCTCTCCCTTTCGCCTTTACAAGGGTTTCAAGGATAGAACTTGGGTTGTTGGGCTTATTTGGATAATGCTTGTAACAGCTGGGCTATCTCCCAAGCCCCCAAGGCATGAAGTTTTAGAGCAAATACCTATAAGCAAACCTACGGGAAGTAGCCACTTACCCATAGCCTCTGGATGGATAGTCATCACGTGAACTGGAATGACCATAATCACGGTATGTATAATCTCTTGGCGGTGGTGCATAATCTCTTGTGTCTCGAGAACTTGGATAGTCTCTGCTTGAATAGCTACCAAAAGAAAAGTTGGTATATGCTTCTGATGTGCTTTCTTCCAACATGATACTTCATAAAAGAAACTACTCTTTTGTTACCTGTCTTTAGTGGAATATCCATCATCTCTCGGGGACAAATAAACATCTCTTCGAGAAGGCAGGGGTTCCCTTCGTGGGGGGCCTCCATAACTATCTCTCCCATGTGACACTGGAGCTTAAGGGAAAAAAAAGTAATCTTTAAAATCTAGCCATGGAACAACTTTCATGTGACCTTATACTCAGCCTATATAAAAACAAAAAAACACAGTGATTTAATCAAATATACTATGTGTTAGTATTTAGGCAGCCTGTTTCTGGGTTGCCTAGCAATCTATGATGTCATTATGAGTCGCCTGCCAGATGTTGCACCTGGCAAGCATGGTTGAGTTGCTACATAAAAGGACCAACCCACCACTTTGTCTCTCTCTTGCCTTCTTGTTCTTGCTCTTTCTCTTCCCCTCTTTCTGTCTGGGCATCCACTCCGACTACGTCTGTCTGTCTGTCTGGTACTCTTTCTCTGTCTCCTTTCCTCTTTCTCTCCATCTCTGTCTCCATCCAAGAAACTTCATTTGATTTAAGATTGGTTGTGTCCTTGGCATTCTTATATAAATACTAACATCTGGTGCTGAAACCCAGGAGGGCTCTTCTAGCAATGTTTAGACATGCTAGAACCCATCTTCACATACCTGCCCACAACAAATCTTTCTCTCCCACCCTCATCTCCCACACTCTTCTCATGATCTCTTAACCTGCTGCTGCCACAGGCACCTGTCCCAGTTCTGGCAGCTGTTCAGACGGGTGTGTGGCCCACAACGGAACTTCTTTCTCCCCTACACCCTCATCTGCTCCAGTCTTTCACAACTGCTCTTACTCGCTCGTTTGAGCTGGACTTCACTGTTAGGTAAGCCAGGCCTCGGGACCACCCACACAGCATGGAGGGTTTTAAAACTGCCCTCAAATGGCTTTAAATTTTGCCACTGCCTCAGGCTCCAAGAAATCAGGTTTTAAAGTTCCCACCTCACTTTCCTGCTTATGTGTGGAGCAGGGTTTTTGAATTGCTTGACGTCTGCTCAACGGTGCCACTCATGAACAGTTTAGAACTGCTGTTGGGCAGGGACCACATTGCTGTCAGCAAGGCCCTGGGTCCTGCAACCTCGGTTGTGGTTCTGCCACCCTGCTTCAGCTGCACATGACTCATGGCTAGCTGCCATGTTGATTTTGGGATAAAGTTGGTGGCGCCACGGCTTCACTGACATCTCCACTAAGGGCAAGCACATGGTTTCACCACCATCTTAACTTAGGACAATCAAGGACAGTCACATGATTGGCAGCCATCTTGGTTATAAAAAAACAAAATAAAACAAAAAACTAAAAAGCTGTGGTTTCACTTACTGCCAGCTGCTTTTACTATGTTGTTTCTGTCCCATTGTTTTTGTAGCTGCAAAAATGCAGTCTCTTCTAGGCCCTAAGCCTAAATGCTGTTTTTCCCACCATGAGCTGCCTATGATCCAGATTCACCACTAGGCTTTCTGGCTACTAGGTTTGAGATAATAAATTCAAATGTAAGTTTTAAATTGCTTTATAGTGTTCTATTATATCATTGGTTTTAAAACTCAGGGGTTACTATGTACAAGTTTTTACCAATACTTTAAATCAAGATCTATTAATTTTAAAGGCATTTATTTATGTTAAAACTTGATTATTGTGCTATATCTTCACTATAAAACTTAAAATATTCTTGATCTTGTTTTCTGAAAATGGTAACATTATTAATCTATAGTATAGGCTTAGACTTTTATAAGCTATGAACTTTTAATATACTAAATCATATAGGAAACTGTCATGCTCTTACTTTAGTGGACTACTTTTAAGGCTCAAACTTAACAGGGATGAAACCTAAAATCCTAATATTTAATGGTTAGCAAATGCAAATTAATAGTCCAGTCATCTTATTATAGATGATCAAGTTCTTTAACATGTTTAAAAATATATTTATTGTCCTATAGATGCAAATATGACCTCACTGCCATCTTTAATTAACAGCTGAGGATGGTCCCTGAGTCACCATACAGGAGTTGGTAAAAATAATAAGGAGTCTTCCCGACAGGCTCATCTACAGCTAAAACGATTCTCTAGACCTTGGCTGCCGCTCTGAGGCTATTGGCATTCCCACACAAAAAACAGGAGGTCTGTAATGTCTATACCCTGCTGGGGTATAGCCAAAAGTCAACTCCGACAAGCAGCTGTTTCAAATACAGCCAAAGGGAACACTGGTCCCATGGCTGCCTCAAAAAGACATGACTGACTGCTGGCAGACTGGCCTCTGGAAGTCAAAATGCTCCCATGCAGACTTATCCTCTGTGCCCAGCCATGGAGGTTCAACCAGCACAAGAGCCTAAAGCTATATAGGCTATATAGGTTATAGCCTATAGTGTCTATAACACTTCCAGCCTTCAAGCTCCCTGGCCTGGTGAAGGACAAACGGCTTCTAGATTCAGTGACCTCCACCACCCTCGCCCAGCCCAGGGTAACATTGCAGGTCTGTTTTGGCCTACTCGGGCCCCATGGACATATTGCCAACTTCTGTCTTGGGAGACTTAAGATGTCTTTTCAGTTCTGTTCATATGCAGGAGACCAGGCCTTAAGCCTGAGTCCTAGAGTTGCTATTGTCAGGCCTAGACACAATATGCCTTGTTGCCAGACTCAAGAAACAGGCCTCAGATGTAACCTTTTACCATCACTTTAGCTAAAGAACAATAAATGTTCATGGCACATACAGTCTCACTTATGTCTCATGGTAAATAACTAGATACAAAGGCCTAAGGAAGATGTTGTTTGAGGGTCTAAAAAGTGTTTCAAGGTTGGTAAATGCAAGTTATAAAGGTTGCAAGGTCTAAGGTGACTTAAGGTATCCTAAATAGGTAAAAAGTCTTAATATTTCCTCCTGTTGCTATGCTACTGTTATATTGACTGTACCGAGCTTTTACCTTTATCAACAGAGCTCTGATTTATTAATTTATTAATCTAACTCTAGTACAAAAATATTCTACTATAGCACTCACTATCATGGTTCCAAGCTCAAGATTTTAAATCTCCTTTGGTTTGTCTTTTATGTATAGACTTAAAAACTATTTCTCATTGCGCTAGACTTATGTACATATAGTCTCTTCTGGATAGAGGAGCCTCCCTTCCATGATGTGTAATCATACTAAAGGTTAAGATCAAATGAGCTTCTGCCTTTCCAGAGCTGACCTTAGAGAGTATTTATGTTAACACAAATGTGTACATCTACTGCCTTTTCTACAATATACATTTCAGTGCAGATTACAATTGTGATGCTAACATGTCTAAAGTTTTATCTCCTCTGTAAAACTTAAAAGTAATTCTTGTAAGCTGCAGGAAATGCACCTGAATCCACCTCTCAGGTCAACTGGGCTCCAGATAATTATTGCACCTATTGCCTACCTTTCCTGGCTATTTCCTTCCCTTTCCTGTCTACTTGATTGCTACATTCCGACATCCAACACCAGCTGATTGGTGAGTCTTCCCTTCTGATTGGTATCAATTCCTGGCTACTGATTGCTACATGTGTATACCCAACACCAGCCTTGGTGAGTCTTCCCTTCTGGTTGGTGCAAAGGCTTCCTACTGCTCTCCCTTTATCTAGGACCTTCTCCCTTGGGTAAGATTTTCCCTCTACTGGCATGGGTTCTCTTCCTCCCCTTCTCGCTCATCTACAAAAATCCTAGCTAGGTAAACCATGTCTACTATGGGCAACTGTGCCCTTGGTCTCTGGCCAATGCTGATATGCTGTTCGAACAGATTGTACCATACTACTTTACTGAGTCAAACCTTGCTCTTGGGATGCCTTGACAGGTCACTGACTCCTACCTGCCCAATGGGAATAGTCCATTCTTCTGTTCCTCCAGATTCTGCTCTGGGATGTGTCTGGAGAATTTCAGATTGCTACACTTAGTGTCTGCTTTAACAGCCTCTACTCTTACACATCTCTGTAACCAAACTTGGCCTTGATTTCCTTAGATGACATATCCAAAGCAAAACGTTTTTAATTACTACAAGTGACTGGGTAAATGGAGGTTCCCATGTTCAAATCTCTTTGATCCAACCTTTTCACCTGTTTGCTCTCGCAGAAGTTTTAAACATATACCTAAAGGAATTTTCTCCATAACCTACTTAACTTTGTCTTATGCTTACACACACACACACACACACACACACACACACACACACACACACACACACA